GGCACCCGTGGCCCCTCCCTGTCCCCGTGGTCCCTTCCCAGCCGGCAGCCCTGCGATGGTGACTCAGCCCCCTGTGGTCCTCCACCCCCGCTCAGAAGAGCTGTGCGGGATCAGCAGAAGCGGCGAATTTAAAGTTGTGAGGCGTATTACAAAGGTGAATTCCCCTCCAGATCCCCCTCCCTTTGAGCTCACTCAGCCCATCATTCTGGGCACTTTCTGAAGCAGCTCTGAAGTCTTCCCTGAGGTCCGTGAGGTCTGGTCATAAATTCAGGGTCTGCTGCCTCTGAGCGCCACCCAGTGGAAAGGCGGGCTCAGAACAACAGGGCGCCCTCTTCCGGCCGACTCGCGCACCTGGCGCGGGCTGACTTCCGGCTCTTCCCCAAAGTCGCGACCCTGGGAGGGCGATGTTTTGAATCGAATTGGGACATGGAGACGGATATGGCAGTGCAACTAAAGACATTCGGGAAACAGCACTCCAGAGCTGCGGCAGAAAGTGATGTGAACAATGGGACGAGCGTGTTCGAAGCGAGGGGGAGAGTTGTAAGGGGAGTGTACGGCAATGTGACTCTTTACTGTAATATTTTTTCCTTTTTTCATCATACCTTTCAGTCACACCTTGTCAAGTCTTTACTTTCCTTCCGTTCTCTCTGGCATCCAGGGCTCCAAGGCCCTGATCCTCTGGCTTCTGGTTCATTTACTGCCAACTCCTCTGTTCTCAATGCCCTGCTCTACCTCCACCCACTAGACAAGCACTCACCACAGGGCCTTTGTATATGCTGTGCCCACTGCAGGGTACACTCTTCCCCACTTTCTTCCTGACTGGCTCCCCACCTTGCTTCGAGACTTGACATTGCTTGTCCTGCTCTGTTCTGTTTGACTCCTTTGACTTTGGGCCTAGTCAATGTTTTCGCCTGCCTGTGACAGCAGTGTAGGTCTGTCACTCAACATGATTTGTGCTGTGTAGATGGCTGTGAAATAAAGTAAGAGAGCCCGCTGGGGCACAGAACTGGCCCTGGGGCTACCACCGTCCTGGCTCAGCAGAGGCCCAGCCAGTCTAGCTGCCAACCACAGCCAGACAGGAGAGAGAGAGGCCAAGGCCACGTGCACCTGGCTCCACTGGGCATCTGCAGCCCTGCCTGTGCCGGGACCAGAGCACCTCGTGCTTGCCCACCTTAGCTGTGCCCCAGAGTGGCACTCATGCCTCATGCACTGCACCCTGCAGTCTCCAGATGGCCTATGCCCCTCCCACAGCTCAGGTTGGATAACTGTCCTGGGCAGCCACGCCCTGTACAGCGGCAGCAGGGCCTCCGTGCTTCCCGGGGGCCTCTGCCCACTGTGACACCGGCTGAGTTCCCTGGGCCGGGTTAAAGAGCAGAACGGTCCTCGCCCAGCTCTGGAGGTGGAAGTCCAGATATGAGCAGGGCTGGTGGCTCCTGCTTCTGGAAGGACAGTGCCCTGGGCCCAGTCCGAGCCTCCCCGGGCTCTGCTGTCCTTGACCAGGACAGCATTGCCCTTGGCCGCCCTCCCCGTAGTGGGCCCTGCGAGCTGATGTCCTGTGGTGGAGGGACACCGCCATCTTAGATCCCCCAAGGACCTCAAGCTCCCTCAGTCCTCCGGGAGGGGCCTGGCATTCTGACTCCAGCATCTTCCTGGGGACCGGTTAGCCCTGCTGGTGCCTGAATGTGTCCCCTCCAGCTATTACCAGTAGGACACTGTCGAGAGGTGGCCCTCGGAGAGTCCTCCCTGGTGACTGGGATCGGTACCCTGGACAGAGGGAGTCTGTCCCTCTGCCTCTTCCGTCTGCCTCCGTGAGGACAGAGCTCCTCTGCAGAGGAGCCAAGGTGGACACAACAGCTTTCACCTGACAGCCGACCTGGGGTGTCAGCCCAGTTTCCATAGCCAGTGAAGGCACAGAGACCGCAAGTGATGCCCAAGGCCACACAGCCTGGAGGACCAACCCAGGCCGTGGCTTGGCGTCCCTGCTCCTGGCCACTCCCCCTCTGGACACTGGCCATGCAGGGTGCACAGGGGGACAGCAGGGGCCACCCCAGCACCTCTCCCGTGTGACTCCAGACGGGGCTGCCTCGCCAGCCTGGAGCCTCAGATGAGGCCCAAGGGTCCTGGGTGACTCGGTGCTGGAGCGGGAGAGGCCGGGAACAGATGGCCCACAAGCCAGGCTCGGATCCACGTACTGCTTCTCCCATCTCTCAGTGTATCCTGGACGGGGCAACTCATAAACAGCAGAAATTCTCTGCTCCTGGTTCAGAGGCTGGAGCCTGATACCAACACCCCAGCAGATTCTGTGCCTAGTGCTGGCTCTGCATTGTCATGTGCCCTGGGGATGGCAGACATAGGGCACCAACAGGCCCTCACTGCCACACTCAGCATTTACTTGGGAACTTGGGACCAATTTACCCAAGTCCCTTGTCTTCCAGCCACGAGCCCCTGCTGTGCTGGATTGGGGTGGGGTCTGTCCAGGAATCCCACTGGCATACTCTGTAAGGAGCACCAGGCTTGGAAGGAAAGGGCCGTGCCAGGCACGGTGAGGCGTACCACGATCCCAGCACTTTGGGAGGCTGAGGCAGGAGGATTGCAAGTTCAAGGCCTGCCTGGGCAGCTTAGCCTACGCCTCTGCTCACCCTCCCTATATGGTGCTTGTGGTTTTAGTTTATTTTCTGTTACTACAGCCAGCTGCCCAAGTCTGGGGAACTTCATGCAGTGCTATTCTTATTTTTTATTTTTGGGGAGTACCGGGAATCAAATTCAGGTCCTTGCACTCGCGAGGCGGGGCGGATGGAGGCACCACTGAGTCAAATCTGCAGCCGTGGGGACTTCATACAGAAAGCTTTGTTTAGCTCACAGTTTGGAGTCTGGAAGGCTGAGAGTGGTGGCTGCTTAGGTTCAGCCTCTGTCGAGGGCCTCCTGGCCGCACAAGGGCAGTGAGGAGCTAAGGGTGACGGCCGCGTGCAGAGGGGGCCAGGTGTGCGGGGCGGCCCCTGTGACGCTGACCTTCTCACACAAGAGCTAACCAGGTTCTTCTGAGTCCAAGCCTCTAAAGACCCAGGCAGCTCTTGGAGGCCCTCCCTGCCTCTCACCACGGCCACACTGGGACTGTGCCTGTTAGCCCCTGGGGACACGGCAAGCCATGCGTGCAACACTGCTTGAGATTACTCACTTCTGTGTCTGTTCTCATAGCTATAATCTTGTGTATGTACTGTCCGGTATGTGTGTACATATATACATGCATGCAAGAGTATACATACGAATATATATATATATATATATATATATATATATATATATAGGGGCGGGGGTAGCAGGGGACCTTGCTCTTGTTGTAAGGCAGGCACAGTGCCACTGAGCTAAATCCCAGCCCTGTAGTAAAGCTTTTTTTTTTTCTTTTTATTGAGGTTATTGGTACAATCTAGGTATACAATACAGTTACATTCATCATTGGGATTCTGTACCTTTACATAAGAGGTCTTGATTCTCATTTTTCCCCTTGTCCCTGCCCTCCCTTCACGCCCTCCTCCCCTCCCCATTTACAAACACTTTATTTCCATTTTTTCAGTTTCTCATATTTTTTTCCTCTCCCTTATTACCTTTTCCCCACCCTTCCCACTTTCCCTACACCTTTAGCCCTTTACTTCCTATTTCACGTTATTAATTATCTCATTAGGATCCTGTGTACTATTATATAGTTTTTCACACCAAAGAAACTATTCAGTATTTCAGTTAAAGAAATCTCTGTATGAACATTAAAAATAGGGAATCCTAAAATAAAACTAAAAGGAAAGTAAAAGAGAAAAGGCAATGATGTAACATTAAAATAATTCTTAATTCTGGAGATGAAAATGGTCCCTCAACATATTTAAATTGCTTTTTGCTCTTATAGTCTTATCTTATTCTTTTTTTTCATTATTTAGAGAATACTTTATTAGTTTCTGTAATCAAACCCACGTAGATATGA